CTTTAGAAGTATCATAAATAATTTATATATTTACCAAGATGTACAGCAGAAATAAAAATGAGAAAAAGAGGTCAAACCCGTTGTACTGAAGAACCGAGGTTGGTCACTATCTGCTGTTGTTTTTTGCCAACAAAACTTAACAATAAACAACAATAGATTATCACCAAAAAGTATATGTTTTTTTTTTTTCACAGTACTAAGAAAGTGCAAAGTTAAAATTGCCAAGCTGACCTCAGAGTAATGATAATAAATTATCAATTTTCACAATTTGATCAGATATAGGAAAATTTTGAAACTTTTTCATACTATTATTGCAGATTATGTTTTATCAAAAATTAATATCTATTCTATTTTAAGCAAAAAAAAAAAAATGATGCTTCAGCATAAAAAATTTTTAATTTATAAAACAGACTTTTAAAGTATGTTTGTTAGACAGATAATTGTTAGAATACTTAAACAGTTGCATTGTGCCAAAATCAAAAAAAATTTTAGTTTTACAGCTTGGCAACTTTTCTTATAACAACAGTTTAGTTTTTTATGCAGTTTTACTTTAATTGGACAGCAAAAAATATTATGCTCTGATAATAAAACTTGCAAAATCTGAATTCTTAGATCAGTCAACCTAATTGTTTAGCACAAAAACCAATTCATTTTTCAACAGCTTCATAGTTTATATGATAATCAAAGACGATTAAACAATGCCTATAACACCTTCAGCTGTATCATTATTGTCATGATAATTATCAACAGCATTATTATCATTCTTATCAACATTATCATTAATATTATTATTTTTATTATTACAGTTTTAAGTAAAACCGCCGACAGAGAGATCAGTCAAAAGAGACATCATCCTAAATAATTTTGCACTAATTTTTCTTTTCTTAACTTACAGTCTTGACTGCAAGAAAGAAGAGAAACTGTTGGTCGAAAAGCTTATAAATACTATTATATAAGCAAATAAACATCCAGAAAAAAATTTATCAATACAGTGTTTAAAAATAAATAAAAAAAAAAAGAGTAACGAATTCAATTTAAATACTGAAATGTTTTAGCAGATAGTGTTTGTAGAAAACCGTATAGTTAGTGAGGCGAAAGTCAAACCACAATTTGCTAATCGAACATTAATTTACAGCTTTCTTTCGTACTTTTCATCAGTCTTACAAATTGAACGCTACTGCGACTAAAACTTTAATGTAGTTGAAAAAATTTACCAAAAAAAAAAAGTAAAAGATTCTATAACGATTAACAGTGAATGTTAATTGAGGTTTTTCTGGAGTTTTTTGCTTTTTTATTTAACAGACGTTGTCTTACTGAAGCTAAAATTTCTTAGATGATATCTCCATAAAAATCTAAGATACAGTTCATCATATCAAAAATTTGCCAAATATAATAGTTTATATTTTAAAAAGAGAGTTTTTTTTTTGTTACTATTTAAATAACAATTAAAATACATAACTTTTTTAAACAGCAAATTTTTGGTTATTAATTTGCTGACAATAAGCTATTTATAATGTACAGAAAAAAAAAATATATATCGCTGAGTGATAGTTGCTCAAGTTTCGTTATTTCATTATCAACAACTTCTTACCCAAAACTGATAAATTATAAACATTTTAAAAAAATTTTTCATCTTTTTAATTTCTTTTTTTTTTGCTTAAAGAATAACGAAACTGAAGAAACAAAAAAAAAAAATCATTCTTTTGCTTCTTTTTGCTTCATAGTTTTTTGAGCAGACAAAGTTCGTCACATAATGGAGAGGCGCTGTTTCGTCAACACTGATTTAAGAAAACCCATAACATTTTTTTTTGTTGAATAAATCGTCGTTCATCAATGAATTTTGTTCACCCCAAATATTTCTTTGGTTGAATTTTTGTCATAATAAATAATCAACCAAAAAATTGAACACATTTCGATGCTGTCAACTTTCCCTTTTTTTTTTGCTCGGTGCTTTGCTTTGCTTTACTTCTCACAGTCTTGAATGTTCCTTAAATTAATCGACTTTATTTAATTACCTAATCACAGATAGACACTTAATACAGAAGAAAATATTTTAGAAGAAAACAGTGAAAATAAGGAAATATATATATATTTTTTTTGATTGTTGCAATTGAGAGAAAAAAAAAAATTTGTTTTCTTATTTTTTTTTTTTTTTTTTTCAATTTTTAACCAGTTTTTTT